GACCTTACGTTGGGCGCGTTATAAACACTTAACACCCTACACCTACTGGATATACGGGTCTGAAACTTTACATTTGAATTTCACTTGCCAATTAATGCAGTATTATAGGCTTATTAGACATCGTCTCAATTTCTCAGTATTTAAAAAAAAATCTTTTTCCACTTCCAACGTTGTAGAAAGCACTTATGCGATACAATTTCATCATAAACTAAAGATAGACATTAACAGTCTTCCAAATAAAATTGTTGACATTTTCATTTACTGTGACGGGATTCTCCTGGAAAAGTTAATTCTATAAGTCACACAATATATTTAATGCTACTATATTTTCATTGCAACATTGGTCAGGGCTGGTGGATGAGAATTTTTTGAAAACATGTCATCTCTAGATGTTCGGAAATAGCAGCTGGCAACCTACAGAGTCGCTACCCATATTCACCCACCTGAAGAGCCGATACATGATATTAGGGGACTAGATACCATACCCACATCAGTCCAACATAGTTCGGGCTGAGGTGGGAAAGGTGGGAAATTTTTGGGAAAAAAAATCCTTTTCTAAATGCCTGGAAATAGTACATTTATATTTTAAAACACAGTAATTAAATGTACTTCACTTTAAAGGTTTAAATTTCAATTGCACGTAATGAGGGCCGGCTTGACCCGTATGCTTTGTCTGGGGATGGCCGTTTGGTTGACTAGATCCACCCCTAAACTTACCTCTAAACATTCAAAAAATAATCTCAACTACTAGAAAATTAAGGATTGTCAAAGCACCTTTGGTCAACGTTTTGATACATTAAAAAGCATGTATGTTAACAACATGTATTCTAATGCTTAGAGTAACTGCTGGCTACATCCCGGAAAAAATATTTCGAGGTTTGGATTACCAGGCACATTCCATTTTCGAGCCCAATCGATTTTCGGGCACACTCGATTTACAGGCAGATTGGATTTTCATACATGATAACAAGATATAAGATAAGTTTTTGTCATTGTGTACAACACAGTTCACATAAAATTCAGTGTTTTCATAAAAAAGAACACATAAACTTAACTAAAAAAATACACAATATAAAACAAGGTGCAGGTTACATAAATATGAAGTAAGCAAAGTAAGTTACAGCATATGTACAGAACTTTATAAGAATAAGTATGTAAATATATATTCAATTATCTCTTGAAAGCTTCATTATATTGTATTATAGAGTTGTTAATGTGTTTATGCACAGACTAAAGTAAATAATTTACGTGCATTAATTATTTGTTCTTAACAACCAATGTAGAGGTGTGCATGACGTTTATGACGTCATATTTAGTCGACCAATTGGAATAATTGGTGCGTATCTGTTTCCGCCATTAGGCTTAAACTTTGCTATAAATGGTCTCATCGATTCCTAGTCTCTTAGTCACACCCTTTAACTAGCTTTAAAGAAGAGAAGACTTTGCGAGAAGTTTGTGAGTTGACATTTTATTGTACTAAACATAATTCTAGAATCTAAAGTCCAGTATTCAAACTATTTGTATGGTACGATACACTTTTTTATTTTTTATAAGAACCAGTACAATTTTGCCCAGGCTCAGTGTTCTTATTTTTTGGCTGATTTCAGGCTTAATTTGTTCTTATTTATTCTTAATTTTTAAGCAATTTCAGCCTCAGTGTTCTTATAAAATGCTTTCTTATAAAGAAAAAAAAAAGTATTTTGTAGGGTCGCCTGACATAATTTTCCATGATACTAGCACACTTTTCTGTGGATCCGTTGAAATCGGTGTCGACGACTGTTTATTAATAACCAAGATAGAGTGGCGGCAGGATTTGCCCGACGGGGGTCTGATGTCTCCGACAGCGGTGGGGGTGGGGGAGGGGGAATAGGCCTATTCCTGAAATCTCCCGGAGTTGGTCCAGCGGCAAAGCTTATTTAAGAGATTTTAGAATGCTTCCTGTCTCAACCAATACTCTTTTAATTGTCTAAATATCTTAATGATGTTATTTAGAAAGGGCCTGTAAACAGTCGGCGGCGATCAGTGGATTAACAGCTATGAGCTCCTACTCGCTAAATTCAGGTGTCCCGGACCTTAAAGGGCCCGCCGGGATATTTATATCAGAATGTTTTCCCCATTACAGTGGGATCTTCATATTTTAAAGAGCATTAACGTGTAAAAGAACATCTAAATACTTCCTTAAAACGTCAAGTGGGCTAACCTTCCCCCGGGATAGTAGGTCCTGAAGAAGCATTCCAGGACGGCCTCAGACCTCTCTGATATAAAGCCACAACTACGATGTGTGACAATCCATAGGCGAAATCGAGGGGACCCCAGCCGGCTCCAGTCAAAACTATATTAAATAATTGGGTTTTTTTCAAACATTACTCAATAGCAAAACACCATTTAAAATATTATATTTTAAGGAATAATAATAATAATCATGCTCCCCATACAGGGAATTTATTCATCAAACTCCAGGCCTCCGGCCCCTTGTAAAACAAAACTATTACAAATTAAATAAGCGTGCTGTGACAATACCGTACTTTAAAAAAATTTCATTAATACACCCGTGTTTCTTTGTTTTCCTTTCTCTTAAATGCATGATAAATAAATAAACATACTTTTCTAATTATATTACTGTTTTTTGCTGACATAATTTTTTCATTTGTTGGAAAATTAATATAATATGATGGGAGATATGTTTTTCTTAAATCAGTATATAACTTTCAAAACAAAAGAAAATGAATCTCATCTTCGATACTACCATCTTGGCAAATACAAAGTCTATTTTTATAATAAACATTGTTTTTACGCCCCTTTTCAATTTCAAGGTTATGATTTGATATACGAAAAGATGTCATTAACAGTTTAAAATACGGTTTTATATTCATTGAGAGATAAGCTTCAATTCCAAAAGTACATTTGAATTTAACATATTGTTTCAATTTATTTGAATTATTTATACTGTTAAACCAATTTTGTTCATCTATGTCTTGGCATCGTTTGTTAAAATTATAAATGAAAGCCGTTTCATCACCCACCCCTTGGTTCATCCAGACTTCCCCATATCCATAATGAAACAGAAGAGACTTAATGCAACTTGCCCAACAATCACTGTCATTATCTATAAATCTTAACTGTTCGACATATGCATTATATACCAGCCTCTCTCTATCCAATGTAATAATTCTCAACCAATATTTAATGATTCTTGTCAATCTTTTAGATCTAATTGTATGTCGGCCCAGTTCACCTCTAATCGCTGCACTCTCTGAATTTCTTTTTTGTCTTAATACAAATTTACAAAATTTAACATGGATTTTTTCAATATCTTCGCCCATTATGTAGCCCCAGACCTCACTCCCATAGTCTAGAATTGATTTTAGTTTAATGTCAAAAATTTTAAAGTAAATGTTAATTGGTAAATTACCCATAGAC